CACGCTGCACGCAGAGCAGCTTATCAGCTGCAGCAGGATGTTTATCCTGCAATAAAGGTGGCACAGAGGTGCACGAGGAAGCTTTTTCTACAGTTGTGGGCTGCACAAAGGAGCAGCAGGTGTTAAATAATTCAAAATAATTTATTTTAAATAAAAATTCCATGCTGATTGTGCGGCTCATCCATCAATCAGTCAATTGTGTGCCATGTCCAATCTTATTTTGAAAAACCTTGATAGAGTGAATTTGCGATAAACGAACCGCAGAGTAGCAAGGGACTACTGTATTTGTCATATGCAAAATCAACACAAGGTCAACAGTGCAATGAAATGCTCAGGGCGAGAAGAACCGTCTCAACTCGCCAAAAAACAGCAACAACATATACCAAAGCATGCAAAAAAATACAAAAACAAGGCGCCAAAAGTGAAAAAGAAGTAAATCAACAGCAGCATGGTCCTATTAGCACAGTGGTTCTGATTACAGTGAGGTTATCATAGCAACATGGTCCAGTTAGCAGCATGGTACTGTTAGAGGTGTGTTTCGGTTAGTGGTGTGGTCTTGTTAGCAGTGTTAGCAGGTCTTGTTAGCAGGTACTTTCAGCAGCATGATGATAATAAGGACCACAGTAGCTGCCTCCCAAATTGCCCTCCAGAACTGGGTCCAACAGACAGAACATATAAGGTTCCTCCGCAGAACCAGGCGGGTCCACAGAGTTTGGTCCATGCAGGCAGACAGAGGATCTTGTTAGTAGCATTAACATGTCTAGTTAGCAGGTCCTGTCAGCAGCCCAATGGTAACAATGAGCGCAGCAGCTGCCCTCCCAGACTGCCCTCCAGAACGGGTCCGGCAGACAAAGAACATCCAAGGATTTCCCGCAGAACTGAACAGGTCCGTAGAGTTCGGTTTGTGCAGACAGATGGAGGATCATAGAGCTGCCATGACAGGCTTGAGCCTGATGTTGGAAGGATTGAACCACGATGGAAAGATGGCAAGGCAGCGACACAGAAACTCCACAAGTGTGTCGCGGTCATACCCGTGCTGTGGATCTGCAGTGTAGGTGCAAAAAAAGTTAAAACAAAAACAACAGGAACAAAAAAGATTGAGTCGAAGCGGAGCTCCCGTCAGTGCTACCATTCTGTGGTGCATGTGACGTCAGAGCTACCACGGCCCACATGTGCGGCACAGAGGGCTGCTATCTAGGATGTCTGGGACAGCAGAAGTGGTGGAGAAGGGCCTTGCTTAAGGGCCCAGAGTGGGACAAATGAGGGTGGAGGCAGGTGTGGGTGCTTCATCTTACCCACCAACATTTTGATGTAATGGTCAGGGGATTTGAACCAGTGACCTTCAATCACAGGCTCGCCTCCTCTAAACACTAAGCCACGACTCCGTAATTTTAGTTTCTCTGACTACCCTGATATGCATCTGTGTATTATGCGTGTTTCTAAATAATATATTTTTTTCCCATCTTGTGCATTTTTACTGCACTGTGCCTTTATAGACTCTCAGTAATTCAGAACAGGGTCATTGTAAAAAACTGACAAAGCCAGGTGGACATTTTTATTCTTACAGACCAGACACTTCTCATAAAAGGAGCTTTCTCATTTTTGATTCAAATTGATATTTACTTTATTCCTTACTGACATGATATTTGCAAATTAAAGTATTTTGTGGCGGCACAGTGACTCAGTTGGTAGATCTGTTGCCTCTCAGCGACAAGATCGCAGAATATAATCGCAGCTCAAGGTCTTTCTGGGTGGAGTTTGCATGTTCTCTCTGTGCATGCTTGGATTTTCTCCAGGTACTCCCATTTCCTCCCACAGGCCAAAAACATGCATGTTAGCTTGATTGGTAACTCTAAATTGTCCCTAGGTATGAGAGAGTGAGTGAATGGTTGTTTGTCTTGTTTGTCTCTATTTGTCCCTGTGATGGACTTGCGACCTGTCCAGGGTGTCCCCCGCCTCTCGCACAGTAACTACTAAATATGGACACCAGTGACCCCCGTGACCCAAAAAGGAAGAAGCAGGTAAACATAACGGCTTGATGGATGAAAGTATTTTGTGTCTTGTGTGGTATAAGTTTCAATCTAAATGAGTGTTTCAATAATAAAAAAAACTAATAGGCTTATGAAAAATCTCTGTCTACTGCATTCACTATAAACAAGAGACCATCTTCAGCACTTAGACAGATTGGATTCAATTATAGTCTGCTATGCTCTGAATATCAGATAAGACAAAATTACACAACTGTTCTCAAGGTGACAAGTTGAGTGAATGTTTGATGAATGTAAAGCAGTAGCCAAGGACACTGACTACATGCTTTGCCAGAATCTGAGCACTTCTGACCTGCTTAGATGTTTCAGAAATGCTTACATCATATGATTTTACAGCTGAGACAGAGTAACAAATTTCATAAAAACAGACTGTTTAAAATGTCCTATACTACAAATCTCAAGCATATTGCAATATTTTATCTTTTAGTTTTAAATTGCAAAATATTACATTTAATTATCTTGTAAAAAGCACATATGGATGGGAAAACATGTAACGTATTTTCCATCGAACACATCGCACCGCCGTACAAATCGCATCAGTCCAAATATGTCTAATAAAGTGGAAAAATCCATAAATACGTTGCTTCGTCGTATACGTTGCATCTGTTATGCGTCACCGATGATGTGTCGCATTTGTTACGCATCACCGCTGACAACCCGGAAATGTGAGTCGGTGTTGTGCCAAAAATCGATTGGCTGCCAAATAGCGGCTGCTGGGGCGTGCATGGGAAGGCTTAAACAAAAAGTTAACAAGACTAACACTTAAAAACAATTGTTTGTTCACTCGAAATTATAGCAAAGGTGTGTCTCAGTTGAACTATTCCTTTAAAAATGCACTTTAATGGTCAAAGCAGCTGAATTTCAAAAATAGTTTCACTGCTGGCTGAGGAGCTGGGAAGCAGGCACAAGCAGCGGGACCAGCAGCTGTATCTCTTTAAAATTTAACGTTAACCACCTAAAAAGAAATATTTGTTTGCTCAAAATTATAGCAAAGGTGTATCTCAATCTAACGTTTGCTTAATAAAAGGACTTAACGGTCAAATCAGCTGTATTTCAAAAGTATTTGCTGACTCGGTGCTCCGGGAGCGCGCAGAGGAAGGAAAAAAGAGAAGGAGAAACGATGTGCACTTCTTCGAAATTTAACAAGAAAAGCACCTAAAACAATTATTTGTTTGCTCTAAATTATAGCAAAGGTGTGTCTCTGTTGAACTTTTACTTAATAAATGCACTTTAATGGTCAAATTAGCTGCATTTCGCCGGGGCGGTGCAGCAAAATGAAGCTGGTTTGACGGTTGCTCCAAGCAGCGAGCAGAATGAAGGTGACAAGCCGATTGTGTCATTAATAGCTGGTGAAGATTCTCAGTCATTTAGGACATGGTAAATTCAAAAAAGTTCAAGACTAAATAATAAAGTATAAAGTATAATAATAAAATTCCAGTTTTTTTTTGTCTTGAACTTTTTTGAATTTGTCATTATAGCCACGTTTACCTATTACGTGATACAATGGCATGCCTTACTACTCTGCTGCCATCTAATGCCTGAAAATGGTACTGTTCAATATTTTTTTTCTGTCAGAATGAATGAAAACGGTCATATCTCAGCCAAAAATTGGTTTATAAATATAGGAAAAAAATCCATAAATACGTGACTTAGGCCTATAAGTGGCAGGGCATGCAAATTATGCAAAAAAAAAAAAGACTTATTCAGCAAAAAATACCAAGTACGTATCTCTACAGACAAATTCGGAAGGCGTATCTGGGGGGCCACATCTGATTGGACGAGGCGTATCTGAGGGGCCATATCTGATTGGACTATAGGAAAATGGGCGTGTCTGGCGGGCCACATCTGATTGGACGATAGAAAAGTGGGCGTGTCTGGTGGGCCACATCTGCTTGGACAAAAAAATAAATGCTGAACGAAAAAAAGCTGTTTGTGTTAACCACAAACATATTATGTCTATGATGTTAACCGGTTCGACATTAGCAGCGTGACGTCTCAGGTTCAACATTAGCGGCGTCTCGGTTCGACATTAGCGGCATCTCCATAACTTCTCTTTCCGCCTCTCTTAACACAGAACTTCCAGTTACATTTCAAAATAAGAGCAACATAACTGGATAGTGGGGAGGGCTAAATGTTTTTTAATGTAATGGCTAGGTATTCAAAAACAAACAAAATCCATTTTGGTTGTTGAAAAATGTGAAAATAGTTACAATCGATTCATAAAGAAAGAAAAATAAAGTAACCAAAATATTAATGATACTTAAACTGGCCTTGGGACATAAGATGTTGCCTTTAACTTCACATTTTTTTGTTCAACTTTTAAATCAGTCACTGCAGATGAGTGATTGTCAGTTTCTGTAAGAGTTCTGCAACTGGAGCAGGTATTTCTGTTTACTGGTTAACTTCCTCAGCTGTCTCACATTTTAAGGGTCAACCCTACTTCATGTTTCAGCTCCTTTCATAGATCAGATCTCATAGAAGAGCACTTCTAAAAAGCAAATTTTGTTTTTAGCGTTTGTTTTGGGTCATTATCTCACCATAGGACTCATGATCTTTAATTGAGACCAGATTTTTTGACAAATAGGAGCAGGTTTCGTTCAGATGATTCATATTTCATTGTACCCAGACCACACTCAAGGCAACCTGTGTCAAGTGCAGCCTACAACCAAGAACACAAGAGAATCGTCTTGTATTTGACAGTAGATATAATGCTGTTTCTTAGAAACCTTCAGTTTTAAAAATAGAGCTGACGTAACTTACCTAAGGAGCAGCAAATACAGCTAGCCAATCAGTGTTTGCCCCCTACAAACACCTATCAAATACAGCTAGCCAATCAGTGTTTGCCCCCCACAAACACCTATTCTCCAGAAACGCCCACTTTTGGCCTGCAGAGAACCCCTTTTCAAAAATACGGTAAATTGTCAAGTTAGATGACCAAGATAGATGGCTTACCAGTATTTTTGTCGTATAGGCACTGTTGAGAGAGATGGCATTGACCAGTAACTCCAATGATTTGGGAGGTAATACACCAGGATCTGGAATTACTTTGTAGTGAACATCTCCAACATAGCACTGCACAGCTGTCATGCGGTTGGTGGTTAGTGTGCCTGTCTTGTCAGAGCAAATGGCTGTGGCATTACCCATTGTTTCACAGGCATCCAGGTGACGCACAAGATTGTTGTCTTTCATCATTTTCTGTTGGCAGAAAAAAAAGTGCATTTAAAAAGATTTTAAAACTTTTGACAAACTTGATGGTTGCCAAAACTAGTCTTTCAGAAATCTATAAAACCTGAAATACATTCCAAATATTTGTGTTAAAAATTAAAACTAAATGTTTTACTGAAACATATCATTCTTATGGCTCTAAAATATGAATAGAACCATTTCGCAACGTATCAAATAAAAAGTCAATTAAATAGAGCCTAAAACATTGACATAATAAAACCTAACTATAAAAATTAAATTTCACATTTTAAAGTCATGAAATATTGCAGATATAGACAATAATGTTTTAGATAATCATTAAAAACATAAATATGGAACAATGTTTAAATAATATATGCTGTCATACTTTCCTTTTGTGTGTGTGTGTTCTTATTTTACCTTGACAGAGTATGCTAGCGAGATGGTCACAGCCAGTGGAAGCCCCTCTGGTACAGCCACCACCAGTACAGTCACACCAATGATGAAGAACTTGACAAAGTACTGGATGTAGATGGGCGTACACTCTGGCATCCAAGGATTCTTCTTCAGGACAAAGTTGTCGATGGCAAAATACAGGACCAAGATGATGACTGTAATCGCTGACATGAGCAAACCTGGAAGAGGTACAGAAGGTGCCAGATGAGAAAAGGAAAGTTGGAATAAAATTTTAGCTACTGGTAGTTACCTTCTCTTTGTGCCCTTGAATAGCAACCAAAATATTGTACGGTATCTGGTTATTTTATCTTATTGCCTCACTATTAGAGGGGAATAAACTATCATAGCAAGATTCTTTAAGCCAGACCTAATCAAGGAGTGTGGGTCAAGGGTCGGATGCAGCCAAAAATAATTTGACCTCCACAAAGCTATCAAAATCCCAAACTTATCTGTCTGAATATTTTGCTAAAATAAATATATTAGCATTAAATTAAGCTTTGCATGATGCTATCAAACAGGTAATCTTTGTTAAATATGAAAACTGAGAGGGATGTGGTGAGCATCAGCAAGTAGTTGTTTGACTGACCAATTCATCTGACATGCTAAAGGCAGTAAGGCTACAATGTGAAGGGAAGACAGCAGGAGATGTAGCATTAGCTAAGCTCACTGTGTCAAGAGGTTTCTTTCCATTTAAATCAGTCAAACATGTTGGGTTATCTTTGAGACTGTATCAATGTCTACCATTTACAAAAACGTCTGCAGTAAGTGTAATGCATCTCAACCACTAGCACAAACAGCAATGTTAGTATTTTAACATCACAACTCACTCAGGCACTGATAAAAGCATGAGCACATTTCAGTTATGAGCTGTTTTAACCTAAAATGGTTTCAGTGGTTGACTATGGTCTGTAATGACAACGCTAGTCTAAATTACATAAGCCAAAATTTATTGAAACATGAACATCAAAAACGTGTTGCAATTGTGACTGACAGTGTGAAGACTGTAAATGCAAAGCATCCATCCATCCATCCATCCATCCATCCATCCATCCATCCATCCATCCATCCATCCATCCATCCATCCATCCATCCATC